TCACGGCTGAGTTACCTCACAAAACATGAACACTGGTCTGTTTTCTGAGAAACAGCATCTTCATATTAATTTTCTAAGTGTCTTGCCAAGATGTGACCAGTCTGCCTGGTTTAATAGCAGGTAATATAAGCTAAGGACACGCAAAGGGATGCAACAAGAACATGTATTCCATGACTGAGGCTAATATTTAAAAATTCAATTTATGGGCTACTATCTGCTTGGGTGAGGAACCAGGACACAACAGAGAAAAGCATATACATTGAACCCTGCTCACTCTGTGATTTGGCTGCCCTGTTCAAGGATGGAGGGAATATCATGAAGATTCATGAATCACAGACCTGGGTAGAAGGACATTCCCAGCTTTTGCAACATTCCATGATAGATAACACATGCACCTGCTATACTGGAAACCTTTCTTCTGTTCCCTCCTGTGCTGACTGTCAGATTGAAACATGCACAGCCCACCTAGCACATGTAGCCTAAACTCTAAATTTCTGTAAGAAAACTATTGCAAGAAGCCTACTTAAAATGACTTTGCCTCACAAAGCTAACTTTATTCATTACTAAAATTAAAGAACCTCAGTAAGAGTTTGTTGTCCCCCCTCATTTTTACAGTCTCTTTGGCCTGGCAGCACAAGATGACTCCAAAGATGAAGGAACATACATGATAAGATGTAGGAACTCCAAAGAACTGTTCTGTAACCACTTAATGTACAGCTTTATACACTAAGCCATCACATGCATAGATTAATTTAAAGCTAAGTGCTATTAAATACATTGCAGTGTTTTACATCAATAAACACCATCTTGGTTGCATATGCATGATTTCCATATGAAAAATGTTATTAGTGTTACAACAACCGTATTCATATAAAAATTACTTAGGAGCAAAAAAACCATGCCAGTCTCACAAACATCAGAACAAAATGTGACCACGCAGCTTAAACATGCTTCAGTCCCAAAGGCTAAGACATCAAAACGCTTTAGTGGTCTGTTAACTATTTAAAAGAAAATCATCTTTCTGTGAGAGACATGTCATTCCCACTTCCACTACCCTTATGTCAACTAACAAAAGTTCCTAATAAGCCAAGTCTCTCAGAGTCTCGACTGCTAAGACCATTAACGTTACCAAAGACCTGTGCATGACTAACAGCTGTGTCCAAAGGAAACTGAACTCATACCTTCCATTTCCACATAAACTGCCCTAAAGAGTATCCCAGGAAGAAAAGAAGGGAGGAGATGATGGGCAGAGAGGAAAGAAGGAAGATGTTGTCATTGCTGATTCTGATTCATGCCATATGGAACTTATATTAATCAGGTCTGACAAAGGAAGCCAGCAAGTGTGAGCGTAACTACAGTCCAGCAGATCCAAAGGCTTATTAAGTAGATTAAAGGCTCAATATAGTTCTCTTTCAAAAGTGAACACTATGCCCACAACTATTTGAAGTAGTGTTCACCATCCCTCTAGCTCAAAGGAGACTCCATTAAATAATAATGTAAGGGCTTCAGCAGATAAGTTTTACAACTCCTCTGTCCAGAATAACCTAGAACTCAGAAGCCAGAGTCACAGAAATGGATGAGAGCATCCACACTCCTGGGCACAGAAAGAGGAAGTGAGCATGTCTGCTCTACCTCCTAAGCGCGCATTCCCAATACCGCAGTGTCTCATAGGAAAACTACCTCTCCTCTATCATGTTACAGACACCTGTCTGTGTCTTCCTAAAACACCCTCTGGTGTGACACCTACTGCAGGGACCTTAGGCACTAGAAAGGCATTGCTGAGCAGCATTAAGACAAAAGATCTAGTTGCGTTTAAATAATCAATATGGTTTATTTCTTTGAACTGCTACAGTCTGATGATTGCCTGCAAAACATAAAGGAAGTTCTTAAAATGGTACCAGTGTCACTTATTTCTTGACAGCTGGTAACCAAAAACCCTAGCAAGCCCCAAACGAGCAAAAGCTGAGCCTCCTTTCCCTACATGTTATGTAATGATGGTAGTCAATTCAAACAGAAAAGATCTTTTGGGGCTAACACTTCTCTCACAGTAATTTTATGTCATTCAAGGTCCACTAACAACTGTTGATTTTACACCACGGTGCCACAGAGGTACATTAGATCCTTCAACTTCAAGCTATCGAGAGCTTGGCTCATTTGGCACTTCTGTGCTGCTGACACACACAGAACTTTAACAGATGGTCTTACAATACTGGCAGTTGTTTTGTACTGTGCTGGCGGTGAGGGGAAATACTCTACACAAATTGTCTGCAATTCTGGAAAATAAATGAAGTACAAATCCATATTAACCTCAAAAGCCAAACTATAAAAAGTCAGATTAGTCATTTAACGATGTATGTGCTCTGGGTTAAATGCTCAGCTGCTACAAATTCATAGTATTTCCCTGCAGCCAGGAGAAGTATGTTTTGCTTCAATTTCTATCATGAATATCCATAAAGATTGTATAATTACAAAGGTATTGAAATACACTAAAAATAAGCCTTGAGACCCTTCCTCATGTTATCATCCCTGTCTATCAGCAAAGGTACCTCGATAAACTGGGTGTTTTGACATAAACATGAAGCAACAGGGTTAACTTCAGTTAACTGAATCTCTCTCTTTTCCTGTGCCAAACAGGATTCAAGAAAAAAAAATCAGCAACTGTGAAAATGCTGAAATCAACAGCGATGACCAAGTAAACAGCAATTTTACATTTTTCCTCACCCATTTAAAAAGAGATTATGTACCACAAGCTGCATTTTACAGTCACTAATTTCACTAGCTGCAGTGGAACTTGCACTGTACATAAAAGAACAAAATTGCTCTTCTCTGTTTCTGTGTGGCTTTTCTACTTTGTATGCCAAATTATCAGATATAGTGACTGGGTTAACTAGTAAACCATGCAGAATAGTGCTTTTTGAAGGTAAGCACAATGATTTCCTTCATCAGGATATAATCTCTATGAAATGTATATTCAAACATATATTTGAGAGTCTTACAGTGCAATTTCAGAAAAAAAAATTTGGAAATCACAAATACTTTCATAAAGTGCTCATGTCTTGTATTTCCTTTAAATGAAACACAAATCAAAAGAGACTTCAAACTGAGATTTCATAGGCTTGGTCTTTCAGTTCCCACCAATTTCAATATATTTAGTTAGATAATATGCCAGTCACCTTGCATCTTATTTTCAAAATGTTAGTTAAAATACAGTTCATGTAAGTAACTTCAAAGTCCTAGGAGGAAAACAGAACCTTAGTAACATTATAATAAATCAGTCCTGCAATATAATAGGTACATTCCAGTCTTCTTCTGACTGAATCAAAGCTGTACCCATTTTTCAAAAATTTTATTTTATCCACTACGGTTGGTTAAAAACATGGTTGCTGGAACTGACTGATATTCTGTATATGTGACTTGACTGATATTATACATGTGTGACTTTGACACCAGTGAATAGATCTTCTATCAGCTTTAATTCTAATTTTATACTGAAAGATCAAACACCTAAGTTTGAAGCTGTTGAAAAAGTTATTGAAACAACTATATTTTCAACAGTTTTCATGTTTTCTTCTCCTCCCTGGGGACTTTTGCCAGAATAAGATGATACAACATACTTCCAGAAAGTACTTAAAGAAGTGAAAGGTAATGCATCTCTGAAAGCATAAATCATTTCTCCTCAAGAAAATGAAAAAATCAAAAGAAATGTTAAACAGACACAGTCAAAATGTAGCAACATCAATCCCTCTGCTTCTCTTCCCGGGTATAAATTTTTTGTCGAACACTTCAACCTATGATTCTCAATGTGGCACTTTGTTGTGAAATTCCTAGAAAAGCAGAGGACATAGTATATGCATTTCATTAGCAATAATGCAAGCACATCCTATCCTAGGTAGGAGTCTTCCCTTACAGATGCAGAATATGAGAAAACATGACAATAAAACTTCATTATTGTCCTACCAGTTACTGAGAGCTTTCCCAGCTTCTGTAACAACTGGTCACAACCTCCCCACCCTTCAGCCCATCCTCTGCAGAGCACACCACAGGTCCACAATGAACATTTCTTTCTCTCAGAATGTACACAAACTCTTCTGGCAAGTAGGATACAAAACAGAAGTAGTCTCTTGGGAAAATAAAAGGCAAAGGGAAAGGGATAAGGAACACAGGACTTCTTTTATCCATTCTAACAATATCCAGCACTTCACCTTTAAGGGAAGGTTCAAGTAGTCTCTCCCTAAACAATAACAGAATCATCTGCCTGCAGCTGTGAGCAAGGTCATTCTTAATGATTTCACAGAATTATGGAATCACAGAATGGCATTACTGGTGCTGGAAAACACCTTAAAAATCCTGCTGCCATGCACAGGGACACCTTTCACTAGACCAGGTAGCTCAGAGCTCCATCCAACCTGTCCCTGAACACTTCCAGGGGTAGGGCAGCCATGACTTCTCTGGGCACCCTGTTCCACTGCCTCACCACCCTCACAGTAAAGAATTCTTCCTTAATTTCTAATCTAAACATACTCTTTCAGTTTTCAACCACTCCCCTTTTTCCTGTTACTACATGCTCCTGTAAATAGTGTCTCCATGCTCCCTGTAGGCTCCCTCCAGGTACTGGAAGGCTGCAATTAGGTCACCTCTAAGCCTTCTCTTTTCCAGGCTGAAAAATCCCAGTTCTCTGAGTCTTTCCTCGTAAGGTAAGTGCTCCACCCCTCTAATCAACTTGGTGACCCTGCTCTGGGGACTTGCTCCAACAGGTCCTTGTCCTTCCTGTGCTTGAATGCTCCACTTGGTAGAAGCTCAGTAGAGATTCAGTAAATTTAGAGCTCTGAAAGAGGAATAAAACCTCAAGAGCAGCATTTTCACAAAGAGATTATATCTGTTACTTTGTGCTGCAGTTCATGTCCCAAGCTGGGCACTACTCAATTTTGATACAACAAAATCCTATGGGATCACAATTTATCTCTGAAATATTATCCCCTAATATCTTTCTCCTTAAATACCTTTATAGTTTCAGTAGGCACTCCAGGCTCTGGAACTTTATCCAAGTAAGTAGTCAAGTCTTGATCCACATGTTCAAACACTAATGTTAGCTTGGTCTCTCTGTCTGTTCGTGACACGGTGCACACATCAAACAATCTGAGAAGAGGAAAGGAACAGAAGAGGTAAGTATACAGGAACCTGTACAGACGTACCTTGCATCTCAAGCATGTCTATTTAAATTTCTTACAGTACATAGAATGGAGAAGAGCCTCCCAAAGGTAGACTTTGAGCTCTTGATGCATCAGGTAACAGTTGATGTGTCAAAATTACCATCTCAGTCTTTCACTTGTGCATTCTGGAATAAGATTAATTATTAAGAATTCATCAGCTGTTGAATGTAAAATAATTACATTAAAAGAGTTTATTTTTTTGACACAGCAATCTGAGTTAATACAGAAAATTACATTATATTTATCCACATTCTAGGCTCTAGTACTTATAGTCATTACAAAAAAAAAAGCAGGAAATATTCTTGAAAAAAAATGTCTGCACCTTCAGTTTCTTTCCACATAATTCCCATGTATACCATTACTCAGCTTTATAATTAGCTCTCCTTCAGCAGAAACAGATTTTTTTCGCTGATTCCTCTTGCAGATTCCTGGATGCAAGAAAGAGCTTCAGAGTTTGGAAAAAAGCTCTGTGCACAAGATGTCACTAACTTCTTTCATCACTTTTGGTCATACTTTTACTGGAACTTCTTTATCATTTCACCTTGTTGCACAACATCAAACTAATTTACAAAGCTCTTCATTTACCACATTCCTATCTGATTACTCTATTTTCTATTGTTTTCTCTTTTTAGGTAGGATTTCTCTCATCCTCTCCACTTCATCTATCATGCGAGCTTTAACCACTGTTTTACCTTTTTCAAAAACATGTGCCCATCCTTCAGTTGCCCGTATTAGTGATTTTCACTACCCTTCCTCAAGTTCCACTTCTACAAAATCCTAATAGGAATCCATCTAAACAGCTGGAAGCACATTTCTTCCCTGCCTTACTCATGTGCTTATTCATTTAATTTTATATTTCAAGATCAGATCACATTTCTCTCTGAGGCAAGGCAGAAAAATGAATCACTACTTTTACTAGGTGACAGTAGATTTAAAAAATTGATGGAGAAAAAGGTCTAGACAGTTAAAGTGAAGAATCTCTCATTGGTAATAGACCAAACTAGTGTTGATACTATGGCTCATTTTTTCCAACATCGTATCAGTGAAGCTGTTGTATTACTCTTAACTTTTATCCTCTTCCTTAGAATTACTTTACTAGAATTAAGAAGTGCAGGATTTCTGGTAATGTTTTCAAGTAATATTTTTGCTGTTTGTTCAAGGACTAAAGGCTTTATATGCAGCATCTGAAGATGACTGATCACACACAAATCTTTGGGGGTCCCTGCTTTTCCCAGACGAGATCTGACAAACAGACAAGGACAACATGTACATGGAGATCTTGCACTGAGATTTTACTTCTTACCTTAAATCTCAATGTATTTCACAAGAGAGGGAAACACTAGAATTGGCATAACCACCTGAATAGAATGTAATTCAGATTTAAGAGAGCAGTATTTTTCAATTTACATTTACCATATGGTAAAGGCTGTGCTCTCATCTGACAGCATTTCCTAAATAATCTTTGGTCTGACACTAAAAAAATTGTTTATTAGCCACCGTATTTTGAAAATGTATACATGCACATTAATTTTAGGTTAAGGAAGCTTTTCAGTGAGTAATAAATTAGGAACCAAAGTTAAAGAAAGACTGTCACCCTACCTCTTCTTGAAGACTAATCTGTACTTACTCTGTAATCATCATCTGAACAAACGAACATTAATTATTATGGTAACACAGTGGCTGTAAGAGAAAATTTGTTGGCATGTTTCTCATAATGACAAAAACCGTTCTCTAAGATTCTCTCAACGGGGTGTACATGTCCTGTACATAATAAATAAGCTTTGTGAAAAGTCACAAATCTTCCTGAAAAGTGAAATTTGCTGGCATTTGGCTGGAGGTTAATAATCTGCAATATATTTATATACATCAACGTGGAATGTAGCTGGACTGCCTATAACCCCAACACATGCAAATAGAGAGGAGCCAGACAGGTCTCAACATCTGAACATAAACACTGGAAAGTATTTCCAACTGTATGATTCCTTTGTGTTGACCTACATTCACCTAAAATGTTCTAGAACACCCCTTTTTCCAGGTATTTAATACACTGGCAAAAATATATTTTCAACTACAGCAGCGTTATTATTTAAGAAAAAAGGAAAATTATTTCACTGTATTAAACTTAGAAGCAGCATGTAATTTCCAACTCGCTGTGGAGGAAAATGTTGACTCTCTGTTAATTCTTCTGTATGTGGGTTATTTTGATTCTGGCATTTTCTGGCACAGCAAAATAAGGAACTCAGAGAAGCACAATTCTGGTTACCTTTTACTGAGTAATAATATTATCACCGAGTAATAATATTATCTTTCCTTTTTATATACTCCTTATGTTAGAAACTCTATTTACTGTTAATCATAAAAGCTCCAGATTCTGCACTGGTCTGGGTAGAAGCACATTGTGTTTACTCACAGAAAATAAAGCTGCTACCTTAGAAAGATAATAATTTAAATCATAGGTTATGTGAGTCCATGATAGTACAAAAAAAACCATCTGGCATTGCTCCTGCTAATCATTCTTGAAATAGACTGAGAAAGACACAGCCTCTTTATTTAGTAGTTTCCACAAGGATAAAACTACTTTTTATAAATTATACTCTTTTACATTCAACTGTGAGAATATCACCCATAAAATTGTCCTTGTTAATTAGCAACATCTCTCTGCTGCCTACATTGAACATCTCTGAAGTCATTTCCTCATGATTTTCTGTATGTGATGGGTTAACATTGCATGTGGTTGCCTCTCTGGACTAGGCAACAGCGAAAGGGCTTTTATTTAAAGAGTTACTATGTGGACACTTGTCCTAAGTGAAGTAAATGTACCTCAATTAATACAGGATTTCCATACTGAATACTTTGTAAACACAAGCCCTGCCCTTCTATTGTACTTACAAAAGAAACGTTTGAATTATTTGATTAAAGTAAGATCCGCTATGGGAAATCCTGCAAGTATTTAACAAGATGTTTGGCTGGGAGTCATACACCGCCCAACACGTCGATCTGAACTGGAACACTGCTGAAGAGACACTAACAGAGAACAGGGGATTTAATGCAGACATTTTTTCAAGTTAATTGTACTAAAGCAGAAGCTTATCAGCTACAAATAGCTGTCTCTGTTTTATTTTATGTGTTTAGTGCCTAGTGGATCTTTATAATCCAGCAGAATACCCACCTTCCTACAAAAATACTTTGGTATTTTTTGCATGCAGAAAACCAGATGATGCACCTTAAAGTCTCCATAGCTTCTTACAACACAAAATCTGACAAATGCAAACCTTCATTTTACAATATGAATACATAATGTTTTTAAAGGAAAGACAGTTAGTACTTTGAAAACTATTGCATCTACTGAATGGAAGACTGTAACTGATCCCAGAAAGTCCCTAAATGTTACCAGATTTGCTTTTGAGATGCTCTGACAGTTGCTATGAAGTTTCCCACTTTCAAGTAGCATAAAATTTTTTTCCTGAGCAAACTGAGATAACAGCAATGGAGATCAGGTCCATCAGCCCAAGCCACCTGCAAGAAGTACTGAAAGACAGATCTGACTGTAAGACCTGAAAAAACTGTAGGACACAATTTCTTTTGGCTATTGTCAAACAGATGAGTAGGTACATTTGGAAAATTAACTGGATCACAGTCAAAAGGAAGACCAAGAATTAGATACTCGCTGCGTCCAGGGGCTTACTGTTATTTTACAGCGGTAGAACTAATCCAATATGAACACATGTGTATCCCTGTACAGTCACCAACAGCACTGAACAAAAGCAATCCTCACCTCTTAAAGACTTCTAATAGTATGGATTTACTTGAATTTTCGTTGGAACAGTGTCTTCCTCAAAAGAGTTACTTCCTAGCTTATGCATAACAGAGGAAGAGAATTGGAGCCTTTGATTTACGTGTAGGAGAAATGCTTTAGAAGACAGTAGCTAGGTAAGTAGTGGCATAACACGCTACAGTTTTAAGATTTCACAAGTCTGAGCAAAAATACAGATGAAAAAGAGTTTGGTGGCCTCAGCATAACTCTGAAAGGTATTTATCTGCACGACAGAAAACCAGCACAGAATTTGTGTATTGACAGCATTTATGTAAACACCACAATATTGGGATACCAAGACTATCACAGGCCATGACTGAGGTTTATAAGGGGAGGAGGACCTGAACAACTTCTGCTTTTACTGCCTTTGGCTCAGGTTCATCCTGGAAGTTCATAAGCACAGATTTCTGCCTCTCATACCCAGAAGTACTGAAGAACGACAGTCGATAGTCCTTTTAGTCCAAATTTCAGCAGCAGCCTTAGACTCTTGCGCTCTTGGGAAGTCATTCAGCAGCAAGCTCTTTGTTCACCCCAACTTTACAAACTAGGTACTCCTTGGAAAAAAATAGTTTTACCCCTACTTTTAATATTAGCTACATTTTCCTCTCTTGATTTTGATGCAAAAAAAGACTGCTGACAGAAACCAGTCTCTACTTGGAATCACAAATACCCAATGTATTAGAACAAAGGGGTCATCTTTCAGATGAAGAAGACAATAGCTGGGCAACTGGAGTGGAACATGTGCATTAGGAGAACCAAATCCCACGTAGCAAAACAGGAAATACAGCTTCCCACTCTGAAACATATGACAGAGCTCTTTCCCTCTGTTCAGGACATACTGCTTTGTCTCATTTTAATCAGCAATCACCCACTTCTCCATGCCTCTGAAAGCTGGTATTTCAGATGTAGAGTTTTCTTGCTCAAAGAAGCTTTAGCAAAACACTTTTAGACGGAAAAAAAGCGCACAGGCCACTAAATTCAAAGTATTTAAATGGCATTTTTCCTGGGATAACATTTGTAGAACCACATAGTAATGCAAGACCTAAGTTCCATTTTCAGAGGCATGTGGGGTCTTCAAGACCACAATGTACTTGCAACTCCAGCTGCAGCTG